CCCGGCCTTGACATGAGGTCTGATGTGAGCTGTTGCTCACGCAGCCTGCCCATACTTCCAAAAATAGCCTAGACCTTGAACCCTAAACCCTAAACCCTAAACCCTAAACCCTAAACCCATGAAGCTTCAAGTGAAGCCCGCGGAAGACTTCGACAGTTCGCGTCCTGGGGCCCTTGCTCCACCGCGGCGCAGGACTCTTTGGCCTTCGGGTTGCCCTAAACCCTAAACCCAGCCCTAAACCCTAAACCCTAAACCCTAAACCCTAAACCCTAAACCCTAAACCCTATATACCCTAAACTGGAGGCAAAGCCCTGGGAGATGCAGAATATCTCTCCACCCACACCCCAGCCGAACCCCCCCGGCCCCATGTGTCCTTAAACACTTACCCCTAAACCCTACACCCCAAACCCTCAACCCTAGACCCCCAAGTTGCAGTCCTGGCCTCAGATGGCGGCGCCTGCGCGCGGGAGAGGTCCGGCTCACTTCGGGGCTCCCCCACGGATGGGTCTGCCTTCCTCGCGGAATGCAGGGGCTTCGACCGGACTACAGTAAACCCCGAAAAGTTGGAAACCTGTTTAAGGACAAATAGTGCTGGGATTCCCTATACTTTACTCTGAGGGATTGAGGCTATTGAGTTTCCAACTTTTTGGCATCTACTATAGGAGTTGGGGTTTAGGGCTTACGGTTTACGGTTTAGGCTTTAGGGCCAGTCTAGGGGCTGTTTCCCGATTCCCATACTAACGACGATTAAGTTAAGATTCTTGCTATCATAGGGGTACCCCTGTTTTGAGAGAGATGCCCATGCAAGAAGAGTGATGGCAGCGGGCCGCTCAAATTGTGCAACGGGTTTACGTGTAGCTTGGCCGACCATGCCCGCCCTTGCAAGACTAGCACTGGCAAATTTCCACATATATTCAAAATTGCATGCCCATAAACCCTAAACCCTAGAAACCCTAACGAAACCCTAACGAAACCCCTAAACCATACTACCCGCTCTGTCCTGGCAGCACTGGGCAAGCTCTCATTCGCATGCATGGAAGATGCCTGGGGACAAGGGAAGTCCTCGGCACTGCGCGCTGAGCCCCTCCCAAGCGTGGTGAGAGTGCTGCTCGCTCTACATGCAATCACGTGAGCACGACAGAGTGCTTTCTTTTGAGATAAGGTTCCATCATCAATCCTTGGTAGCCGAGAAACCATATTGCAATTGAGGGTGCCCGTTTTGGGGTTGGTTACTTTCTAGCGGACCTAGAACGAAAAAAAGGGCAAAAGGGTACCACTGCGCTGCCAAGAATCGTTGTAGCCTGAATTCTGGGCACGTAGCTGCATCACAGATGGTCAGCGGCACCAGCCCAATCCTCTCGGCATTTAAGGACTCAGAAGCGCTTCGTACTAAGTTCTGCTTTATCACTTAGAGGGTGTGGCACCTTCTGGCACAACATATCCTGTGTGTATATACCTATATAATCTGTTAATATGTGGGTAAATGACTATCCCCCAGCATGTTTTTCTCCTTCGAAGCACCACATTACACCGCACCCGACAATTAGACCATTGGGCCAAAAGGTCTTCCCGAACCAGACCCACCTGACAATGGGACCGCTACGACGCCCCCGGACCATTCGACCATTGCATTGGGCTAATGGTCTGGTTGCTACTGGTCTCATGGTCTGATGACTAGTCTGATGGTCGAGTGGTCCAATGGGCGTCGTATGGAGGGAAGCCAATTGGGCTAATAGCACAGCATGGTAGGTTCGAGCTAAATCTTTCAACGGAGCTCGGTCTGTCCTTTCATGTTGCACCAAGAATACAGAGCCACAATAAATCAAGCGAAATGTAAATCCCAAGACGAGCTCGATATTGTGCCAGCCTAGCCCACAAACGCTCACCAAGGACCGAGGCCAGAGCGCGATTCGACACCATCCACGACGCCAACAGCTACTCTTAACGTAAGAGGCCCTAGGTGTTGGCGCCGTTTGGGGAAAATTGCATGCCTTCTTATGCATGCTCGTTATGGTGCATTCCAAGTAAAGCATGGTAAGATCCACGTGTAGGATTCCATATGGAGAACGGCCTGCAAATCCTGTCGCTCAGATGCTCGTTTCATATCCTGCATAACCTGCACTACGAGGCCGCTGCCGAATTCTCATGCCTCTGCTTTGGCAGCTTGCAAATCTTGTGAATGAACATTCTTGCCACCTATGGTTAGCATATTTAAACCTTAGTATTGCCACGGATACATAATCATAATCGCATAATTCGAATATTCTAATACACGACTACTCGAGAAATATGATAACATAGTACTACAGTCATATACTAGCACACATCCAAGCCCCCCAATTAGGCTGGTCCTGGACACTGCTTCGCGCGCGAAGCGTTGGTTGCTGCTTTCGCACACTAGGACCTCCTCCGGCAAAGTCCTCGTGCAACGTTGCGAAGATGCGCGTGAAAACTCTTCAGAACCCCCGCTTTGACAACTCCACTTCGACTGCGGGGCCTGATGTACTTGGGGACCCAAAAAGTGTCCGAAATTAGAGAACCGTGCCGAAACTGGCATTCCGGGCTCGCTACCCTAAACCCTAAACCGTACACCATAGACCCTAAACCCGAAAAGAGGCATCTGAGGACGGTGCGACCAAGGCGCTGTACGGCCGCATGTGCCCGTCCCGCAGGGGCCACCTCCTTTCGTGCTCGGTGCTGTCCGCGGTCTGGCATGGACGTAGGCTGCGGAAAGACCTTGGGAATTGTAACGGCTGGGGTTTAGGGTTTAGGGTTCAGGGTTTATAGGGTTTCGGGTCATGGAAACATCATTCGGTCTTTCGAGTTGCTGCTCAAGCTTATCCGAGGCACGGCATCAAGCAGAGGTGCAGGCGTCGCAGGCATCTGGGATGCCTTTGCTGCAGATTCCGCAGCCGTCGGCCGGGAAGCACTGTCGCAAGGGTGCTTTTCTCTCTCCTGGCGACCGTCGCTGTAAAGAGGCCGAGCAGTTTTGGACTGTAACCCCGCCCCCTTTTTGGGGAACACCGAACAATTTAAGGGTTCATGTTAGGGTCCTTTATGAGTCATAAGCGAGAACGAACTGACAAGGCCTGTGCTGGATCCAAGCGCCAGCCGGCGATCGATGAGGGGTCATAGCCTACAAGGATCAGGCAGTTTAGGCATTTAGGGGGCGTAGTCAGGATGTAGACCAGGCAAAATGCTCGCACAACCCCTGCCTGGTATAGGCGCCACGTCCACTGCGCACTTCTTTGGTTCACCGGCCTGTGGGCTTTCCAAGGCTCACGGGCATGTGACGTGTCGTGGCCTGGTTCATGGCGGGACCATCTTGCCTTGAGCTCCTCAACCTTCCTGAACCTTCAATTAAATTTGCTTCAAGAACCCCCAGCAACAATCACTACATTCTATTGCGCTTGTAAGGAATAGTGTATGATTTTTTTTTGGGGGGGCGGGGGAGGGGGTTCCTAAGCAGATGGTGGCTTCGATGTCAGCTCGTGCTGCATGAGCCGGCCTGCGCCATGTCAAAGCCGGCCAACGATGCGCTGGACAGGAAGCCGCCGTCCCTGAGACGACTGGCAAGATCATCGGTTTAGGGTTTAGGGTTTAGGGTTTAGGGTTTAGGGTTTAGGGTTTAGGGTTTAGGGTTTAGGGTTTAGGGTTTAGGCCCATGGGAGTGGACGTTTTTCAAACAGAAACCCTGTAGCAGTTCTCGTGCTACGGATTCTGCTGAGCCGGTGGATGTCAGTCGTATATGGGCATTTCCCCAAAGAGGGGTACCCTGAAAATGCCCCCTAAACCCTAAACCCTAAACCCTAAACCCTAAACCCTAAACCCTAAACCCTAAACCCTAAACCCTGAACCCTAAACCCTAAACCCCAACAAAAGGGTACCCCCATGTTCGGAAACCCCCATGCTATGGTGCCTGGCCAAAGGCAGGAAAGTCGTCCGCGGGCTTTGCGGCACGATCTCCTCTTCAAAGTAGTCTCCTTAGAGGAGGCGCAGGACGAGTACACGATGAACGGTTTAGGGTTTAGGGTTTAGGGTTTAGGGTTTAGGGCTCAGGGTGCCATCGGGAATCAGTGACCAATTGGTACAACTCTCGGGGGTTTTATAGATTCGGGGTATCTTCCTGGGGTCCTGATTAGAGGGGAATCCTACGATTTGGGGATCGATATTCGGGGTCCCTTGTTTTCCGTAAACCCCCCCCATCTTTGCCCCCCAAGTCTCTGCTGATGTCCCCTCTCCACTGTTGCAGCTTCCAGTTTGCATCCGCGACCTTCGCTGCGCGCGGCGGTGAGGTGGAGTGTGGTTGAAAGCAGTTGACTGAAGCTGGAACTCTCAAGGGGAGCGCCCGGTGGCTCCCTAAACCCTTAGCCCTAAACCCTAAACCCTAGCCTTAAACCCTATAAACCCTAAAACCCTAAACCCCTAAACCCTAAATCCTAAACCCAAAATAGCCCCTAATCCCTAAGGGGCGCCTGTGCTTTGACGCAGCTGCCGGCGCGGCAGTCGACAGGAGTGCGGAGGCAGGAGAGCTGCATGTCTGCACCCCATGGCCCAAGGAGGACAGGAACTTTTGGTCCCGCAGTAGTGGGGCTTAGGGTTTATAGGGCTTCTAGGGTTCATAGGGTTTGTATAGGGTTGAGAGGGTATATAGGGTTTATAGGGCTTATAGGGTTCACAGGGATCATATAGGGTTCAGAGGGTTTAGAGTGTGGGGTGTAAGGCCGTGCTCAAGCAACAACGACAGGATTGAAAAGACATGTCTTCAGCATCAGCATGATCAGCATGATCAGCATGGGCCGGTGGTTGGAATGACATGGACTTATTTCATGCTACAGGCTTCATGGCCTTCACCTACGTGAATTGGCAAATGCTGCAGTCAAGCAACAGACGCTTGCACAAGCCCATGTCGGCGCCAAAACTTGACGGACAGGTGCTCTCAGGTACTCAGCAACCACCCTCAAACAATAACCAAGTGCGGCAAAATCCAGTTCATCGGCCTGCACCACAGACTTCCGGCGTTCGGGCGTGTCCACGGGTCGAGTCGCCTGCGAAACTTCCCCGAAACCCGAACCCCCCAGGGTTAGATTCCAGCCTTCATTCCATGTTCAGAGAAAACGACATGCGGACTCTTGGGGGTAAACTTGGTGAACCCATGCCGGGGGGTTGTCTGCTATGCACGCTGATTGGAAAGGTCTCGATATCAGCAACTTCATGTTGCTCGACCCAGGAGTAACCTAGGAATGCAAAGGGTACCCTTTTTGGCTTTAAGTGGATTGTAAAAGGGAATCCCAACCCTAAAAGAAGGAAATAAGGGCCTACTCCGGGTCCTAGGTTGCTTCCCGAGTCAAACCCTAAGCCCAAAATTCAAAACCCTGAACCCTGAACCCTAAACCCTAAGCCCGCTAGTTGCCTGCACGAAGATCAGGTCAACCTCCACTTGGGTCAGCGGGGGAACTGGGAAGACCTGGTGCAGCGCAGTCGTGGCACCAACTTCCAAGCTTCCAGCCTCCACGGTTTTCCACAATAAACCCTAACCCTAAACCCTAAACCCTAAACCTCAAGTGCGGTACGCAGAGTTAGAAACCTGTAACTATGGGCCCATTTGTCGGTTGCTACACTGTTTCCCGTGCTGCACCAAACGAAAGAAGAAACATCATCAACAACAAGCTCCAGAAAAGCCTGTCCGGTTCGAGCAACAGCCAAAACCCTAAACCCTAAACCCCTGCTCCAGCGACCTCCCTTCCCAATCTTGTTCCCATTCCTAGACGGACACTGCCAGGTTGGAGAACGAAAAACTAAACTCCGTCTGACCAGACATGGCCATTTATCCCAAGATAGGCGTACCCCGATTATATATATATATATATATAGTATATATATATATATTCCCCCAAATACAAGAATCCTTGTTATAGGAACCCTCAAAAAGGGTACCCCCTACTTTCAGAAACCCCCCACACCCAGGGGCCGTACTCTCAAAGGCAGTTGGACGTTGGCCTGCGCTGCCTGCAATGCAGGGTCAGGACCAGTAAAGCCCTAATTAAACCCTTAAGACCCCTAAAACCCAACAAAAACCCTAAGACCCCACCTGAGCCCGAAAAAAACCCCGCCTGGGCCGTAGAGACGGCAAAGGACGCACGGCGGAGTGAAGGCCTCGATGCGGCGAAGTTGGAGCCTACTCCCAGTGCTCAAGCGGCTCGATCAGGGTTTAGGGTTTAGGGTTTGGGGTTTAGGGTTTAGGGTTTAGGGTTTAGGGCTTAGGTTGTAGGGTTTGGGGTTTAGGGGGCGTGCTCATGGATGGGTTGCCAGTCTTGGAAGCTCATGGGTAAAAAGAAGTAGGGCTATAAGTACCCTAAATCAGGTGATAAACCAGCTATCAGTGTAGATACCCTACTTCTCACCCCACTTCTAACCGCCCATGAACCTTCCAGTTGGGGGCCCGCACGCATCGCCACCAATACTTCCTGGCTCGGGCAGGTCCAGGTGGTGGATTTCGGAATGGAGGTAAAAGGTCATGGCGGAGCTCGGTGTGGGCAAGCTCCAACACTTCCCCAAACACCCTAAGGTGCCCTAAACCCTAAACCCTTAACCCTAAACCCCAAGCCCTAAGCCCTAAGCCCCTAACCCCTAAGCCCTAAGCCCTAAGCCCTAAACCCTAAACCCGAAACCCAGCCTCGTGGCCCCGTGCGTCCACCGAAGGAGCTCCGGCGGAGCGCCCCTGCGGAGCTCGAGCGGCTGAGGCCTCAGCTGGCCGGTGTTTAGGGTTTAGGGTTTAGGGTTTAGGGTTTAGGGTTTCGGGCTTAGGGGTGAGGATTTAGACGTGGGGGGTTTCCGAAATTCGGGGTACCTCATTGGGGTCCTTATTATGAAGGAATCCTACGATTGAGGGGGTCTATTTTACGGATCCCCTACTCTCGTAAACCCCGGTATGTTGCAGTTCCCAAGGCCATCGTTGGGTTTTGGTTGCCACACGTTGCTGCACCTTCATCCCCCAAAAGGAGATCAACTCCGTCTACACTAGAATGGAAGGGATCGCGTCGCGTGTGGGAACCTGAGGCAATCGATGCTCAAAGCTCAGGGTTATGAATGCTTGCCACTGCGCTGCGTGTCGCTGAGACCAGACGTGGACAGGGGATGCATTGTATTGGGGAGGCATGGAAGTTTCCGAAAGCAGTGCCTGGCAGCTTCAAAATCAAGCGAGATCAGCAACATCTGCACAAACTGTCGCAAAACAAAAAGAGAGAAAAGACGCACGCTCCAGCTTTCCGAGCTTCTTGCCGGGGCTGGTGGCTGCTGCCTCAGTGGCCAAGCGTGATGTGTTGTGTGTCTCTGAATGGCAAGAAATTCAAGGTAAAGCTTTGTGACAGTGCGGACAAGCCATGCTCTGAGGCAAGCTCTGGCGAATCCGAGCCTTCCACAGGGGCACCATATTGCTGTACAAAAAGGACCGGAACCACGAGACGAACAACATTTTTCTTGACGATTCTGTTCGACAGAATTCGACATGCTGCAGACCCTCAGCTCACCGGCCTGATTTCGAAGGCCGCCGTACACTGCCACGGCGGCCTATCGCAAGCTGTAGTGCCACGTTCACGCTTCTTTTTCTCAAAGCTTCCGAGGTCGAGTGGGCAACAGGGGGAAGGACAACGGAGACATCGGAGGAGGGAGTGGAATGGATTACCCACCCATGCAAGTACAACAGTTGGTAGAAACTCGGACAAATGCCAAGAAATGGATCGATACGAGTAGATGGCACGGCGCGTCTCATGGAGAAAGAGCGTGCGCGCAAGAGCGAGCGATAGAGTCGATAGAAGTGAGGCAGATCAACAACTGCCACCACCTGTCTCGTCACAGAATGCCAGAGTCGACTGAACAAGTCGCGTGGGTAAAGCCTAATTGCCCTCCTCGCGAAGCCCCCAATGCCTAGAGGTCGCCCAACAAGTTCCCAAACTGCCAGTCGTTGAATGCCTTTCACCAAGCAAAGCCAGGGTAGGGTTGATGTTTTTGTATCCAGGCGAAAAATGTAGCTTTGGCAAGGAGGAGCGGTCTTCACTAGTTTAGCTTGGGATCAAAGACTTCTCTTGTCAACAACGGACTTTCTGCTAAGCCCAAGCTGCAAAAGGCAAGCGGGCTGTGTCAAGACATAAAACATAGTGTCGAAACAAAAGCCCCAACATCTCCCGACAATGTAACCTGCACACACTTGCGCCTCATGCAGGCAACACCATTCGTTCCATCCCACGCGCAGGCCAAGACTCAGAAGACAACTGATGATATCCCCTTGTACTAACAGCCCTTCATAGGGACTATAGAACCCCCCCCCCCCCCATTTTAATCCCGATTTTAAGGAGCTGCTGATGAACACCAGTAAGTTGAAGAAGACCTCCTTTTTCTCATCCCAAGCAGCTCCCGGGGTGGCGAGCGACGAGTTGCTGGTAGGCAAGGGGTGGCAAAAACCAGGCTTGAAGGCTGAACAGGAGCAGCCCCCCAGTGATTTTTGCACGTTCTGCCCTCCTCATGAGATGAGACCCCAGGTTTGAGCGGAGCCAATATTCGTTCTATCGCGTCGTTCGAGCCCCGGATGGGCACCTGCAACGTCCCCTATCGGTCACGCCCGTGGGTGTTTCCTACGGCATGATCTTCTCCAAGTGAATAGGCATCGAAATTCTCCTTTCAAATTCACCGGGGCTCAAATCAGGGTTCTCAAGATCAAGCTGTTCTAACGCGTGGCGCGCAAGCTACGTTGTCACCTGGAGCGTTTCGGACACTGACCAATCGTCTGCTACTTAGTATCAATGCGCACACTCGCATATTTGACAGCAACCCCGCGACTATGTTCCTGCACCGCCCTGCGTCAGACATCGTCGAACACAACTAGCCCCTTCATCTGGAAAGCCTCAATTGGATCCCAAAGTGCCCGAATTCGAGGTACCCATGGCTCTCATTAAGGTCCATGCAGGCATTAAGCCAACTCTTCCCTCATGCTCCGCTAGGGTTTAGGGTTTAGTGTTTAGTGTTTAGGGTTTAGGGTTTAGGGTTTAGGGTTTAGGGCCTAGGGTTTCGCGTGATGCGATTGCCTCCGAAGGGCCCAAGATGCAGGGTCGCGAAGCGATGGCTCAGATGGCGACTACTTGGAGGTCCATGGTACCTATTAACCACTTATAACTGTACTTATAGCTGTACTTAGAACCATATTAGGGAAGTGCAGTTGTAATTGGTTAATAAGTACCATGAACCTCCAAGTAGAAGTAGCTATGAGTGATGACGGCGGGCTTCAGCATCAGGGGCCTTCCGGCGCGAAGTCGAAGGTGACTGGCCCATCTGCCTTTCCGAAGTTTTGGTGAATCTAAAGTCGCGTCTGTGCTGTGCGGCGCACTGAGCTGGCTTTGGCTTGAGACTTTGCGCGCCTCTATGGCCAATAGACCGCAATCTCTCAGGAAGCGCCCGAACCTCGGAGGGGGACAAGACAAGCCATGAACAGAATGAACCAGGATGGGTCATCAGGCCTTATAGTCCCCATAACGAACCCTATAGAGGGCCTTTTAAGGGATTTATAGGGTATAATCGCCCCTCCTGGAAGAAGGAAACAGATCCAGCTTCGTGATGCTTCGGGACACTCGGAAAGCGCTGAGCCCGGCGCTTCTGGGATGTCAGGGTGCTTCGATTGAGCGGGTCAGCTAGGGAGGCGTAGTGCCTGCCATCCTTTAGGGTTTAGGGTTTAGGGTTTAGGGTTTAGGGTTTAGGGTTTAGGGTTTAGGGTTTAGGGTCTAGGGTCTGGGGTTTAGGGTTCAGGGTCTAGGGCTTAGGGTTTAGGGAACTGCTCTTCGCAACTACTCGAGGTCAGCTTTGCAGAATGAGGGGCGGGTTGGCACGGGATGTTCATCCCTCGTTCCGCCGTCCCTTATGCGACCAGTGCTACCCGCTACCCGCTACCCGGTACCCTAAACCCTAAACCCTCTACCCTAAACCCTAAACCCTAAACTCTATTCCTTCTTCTTTCGTTTGGTGTCAGCTTTGGTGTCAGGGACTGGCTTCCCCGCGAGGAATGGGTTGGAACCGTGATGGAACTGTGAGATTTTTACTCCGTGTCACTCTACTCCTCAGGCTTGATTTTGCAGTTTTGACCAACTCTTCTCTACTGCCTTTGAATGACTCATCCATGCCTTCTCTTCTTCGGTATGATTGAAGTGCGATGTCAACCAGAAACCCTAAACCCTAAACCCTAAACCCTAAACCGCTGGTAGAGAGTTTCTCTTCTTGACCCACCCAGAAGATTGGGGAGATGCCAGGTCATCGTCTGACGACTTCCCCAGAATTCCGTTGTGTCCTCATCCAGGCCGAGGCTCGCTCTGCTGCGAAAAAGGGTTTAGGGTTTAGGGTTTAGGGTTTAGGGTTTAGGGTTTAGGGTCTCATGATGAAAATCTGCTACCCTAGATTGCTTTTTGTCTTCAGCCTAGCTTCCGGCCTTTTCTCTTCCTGACTCAACCTGCGCACTTCAGCAGGCCAGATCGACTTATGGTAGGGTTCTTAAGGGAGGGGGGTGCAAGGGGGGTATGTAACCCAAGGTTCCCTAATACTCCCTACTACTCCCTAGGGCTTGAACCCCCCTCCCTTAAGAACCCTGTAAACTTAACGTGAGCCAGGACGGCCCGAATGTTTTCTGGATCTCCAATCTTGCCCACTCCTCGGTGAAGACGCGATTGAAGTCTTGAAAGAATGCCCCCCCCCCCCCTCCTCAAAGCACTCTCTCGGTTTCCGCGGGCATGGTTAGACACACTACTGACAGTTGCGAACAACAACCATAGCAACGAAACATGAGAAGAAGAAGAAGAAGAAAAAGAAGAAGAAGAAGAAGAAGAAGAAGAAGAAGAAGAAGAGCAACAAACAGCATCATAATATACTGATGCTCAGTTTGGGGGCTTAAAGGGCTTAGGGTTTATAGGGTTGAGGGTTGGGATGTTCCTCAATAGCGATTATCAATAGGGGCGGCACTATAATCCCTATCAAGGAGCTGTTCATAGGGGGAACAACCCAAGTTTAGGGTCTGTAGGCCCAGAAGAAGAAGAATAGCACCGAAAAGCATCAGAATATTGATGCCCAGTTAGGGCTTATAGGGTTTAGGATTGAGGTACCCCCTACTAGAATCCCTCTTAGGGAGCTGTTTCCAATAATGGGGGAACATCCCAAGGGTCTATAGGACCTTTCTTGTGATCTGCTCAGCTTGGTCTGAGTGGCCGGGAGTGGCGCCGCGGCCGCCCGCGGCTCACGAGCCAGGCTGCTCACAGAGCGTGAGCGCCGGGGCTTCCCCACCTGATTAACAGCAATAGGACAACAATACTAGAAGAACAGCAATGTACTAGCAGCAGGGTCATTTCAGTAGTATAATAAGAGATACCAGAAGGACAGTGTCTCAGCAGAAGTAAGAGAAGCAAACGTACGACTAGGCCATCCTTCACTGCCGGTTTGAGTCGCTGATCATGGCAACTACAGTCGTGCACCGAATCCTCATGCTGCTATTGATATTCGTATTCTTCTTCTTACTCATACTGCTATATTATTATTCTTAGTATTGTTATCAATATTATTCATAACATTATATTCTCAGTATTTATATCCTGGTAGCCCAGTAACCATATTGCAATAAGGGCACCCTTTTTGGGCTTGGCTACTTGATAAGGAAACCTTGAGCCAAAAAAAGGGAAAAGGGTACCACTGGGCTACCAAAAACTCTAAACCCTAAACCCTAAACCCCAAACCCTAAACCCTAAACCCCAAACCCCAAACCCTAAACCCTAAACCCTAAACCCTCATGCGGGTCCCGCCTCCTCGTCTCGTGTCGGACCTTCCTGCCTTGACTGCGCTGGCTCCTGGCTTCAATCTCTTTTGCACCGAGGGCCCCGGGAAAGTTCTACTTCATTTTGGGGTTTAGGGTTTAGGGTTTAGGGTTTAGGGTTCATTGTATTTTGGGGTACCGTGCCAAGGGGGACCTCCATCTTAGGAAACTCCCAACCCAAACCTACAAAACCCTGAAAAAAAAACCTACGAAACTTTCCGCAAAGAAAACCCGAAAGCCCAAGCTCCAGCAAAATCCTTGTCCTACCCCGAAGGACAGAAGGGGTTAAGGCTACCCTAAACCCTAAACCCTAAACCCTAAACCCTAAACCCTAAACCCTAAACCCTAAACCCTAAACCCATTTAGGGCTCGCGTGGGCCTGGCCGATCGCCTGTTTCAGCGTCTCAGCCGCGAGCTCTCGCTGCACGTCCTGCCACCAACAGCGCGCTGCATCATCGTGGATTTGGGGGGGGTTTCCGAAAATAGGGGTACCCTTTTGGGGGATTCCGATAATAAGGATTAAACTATTTTGGAGTATATGATGGGTACCCCCATTTGGGGAAATGCCCATATATTACTATTATTTGCATTCTTATCAGTATCATCTCCATTTTTCTCATGACCAAACTTTTTCATTTCTTTTTCTACGACCACTAATACCATTGCTATTCTTAGCTATCATTTGTCCCTCGCGAGAAGAAATACAGACAGGAAGAAAGCTGTAGTTGTGACCTTTCTGGCTTTGGCTCGAAACAGGGTATGTCGCAGTATCCCCCCACCTTTTACATACATGTACAGTTTGTCGCTGGGCCCCCTTCAAGGAAGTTGCAAACCCTATGTCGCAAAAAGTGGGTGCCAGTTGCATTTGGCACGGGAACCGAGCCTTTTTAGAAAAGCTTCCCAAAAAGGGGCCACGATCTAGAATGTGGCCGTAAAGTTGTTGCTATGATTGTTATTAACCCGACGAGTCAAGACAGCAAGGCTTTGTAGTTTGCCTAGATGCTCCTAACAGAAGCCCTAATCAAACCCTATAAGCCCTGTAAACCCTAACCAACTCCCATAATCCTATAAACACCCTATAAACCTCACAAACCCTGTACACCCTGCAAACCCCACAACCCTACAACCCTGCAAACCCTACAAACCCCAAAAACCCTGTAAACCCTGTAAACCGTAAAGTCCTAAACCCTAAACCCTCAACCCCCCAACAACCCGAACTCACAAGCCTCCGAACCCCAGAAAAAAAAAAAAAAAACGCGGCAGCGTCTCTTCTGGAAGTTTCTCCATGTCGGGCAGGACCCTGAGGCTGATGGCACCTTGGAGAGCGTATTTGGAGGTACATGGTACCTATTTAACCAATTATAACTGTACTTGGGCTAGACCAAGCCATGACGGTTTAGGGTTTAGGGTTTATCGTTTAGGGTTTAGGGTTTAGGGTCCTGCTTGGCCCATCTTGCAGCAGGTCATGTAATGCACATGCATTGCCGAGGCTTCGTCCTAAACGAATCAGGCGCATGGTGGAGAATGAAAGACGGCTATGGGGTTTTAGAGTACTAGGCCCATGAAACTTACTGCATTTGGTACCCTATCTAATCCCTTAAAAGGGATAGAACTCAAGTTATGGCCCTAAACCCTAAACCCTAAACCCTAAACCCTAAACCCTAAACCCTAAACCCTAAACCCTACATTGCAGCTCAAGGTACCCGAGGGATTGTCCTCAAGCTGGGCTCTGCGCAGCCTTTTGGAGCCGTCCCGGGGAAGTTCTGGCTAAACAGAACGCGGCCCTGGCAGGCATCTTAGAGTACATCTTTACACGGGGGTTTACGCAAAAAAGGGGACCCCTAAAACAAGCCCCCAAGAAAGGTACCCCTGATTTGGGAATCCCCCACATGATAGAATCTTTCAGTGTAGTATAGTGTATATACTTTACTCTAGTATGTTAGCGTCTGTCATAGCATTTTATCCTCTATTCGGCTTCCAGTTTATTGTATACTGTGATATTGCACACTATATGACACGCCTTGGACGCATCCATCCACTGCATCAGTCGCATCAGCGATGGCACGCCTTGCAAGGAACACACTGGCACGCGCGGAAGCGGCTGAAGCCCCTCGAGCTTGAAGGGTTTGGGGTTTGGGGTTTAGGGTTTAGATCGGACTCGCAAACCCCCTACCCCCCCAGCCGCCCACGCCGCCGCCTGCACTTGCAAAAGCCCGCTGCGCAGTGACTGCAAGGCTGCAGGCGAAGTGGCTATACCTTGATGCAGCAAAACACGTGAAGAATCATGGCTAGTTATAAGAGGGGTGATAAGCAGGGCAACTATACTATCCTTCTTCAGGGCACTTATAACCCTACTTTATGGCTACCCAGGAACCTCCAAGTAGACCGCAAGCTCCTAGCCTTCAGCATCTTGCGCTTCGAACTCCTGTTGCCAAAGAACATATTATGATGAGATCTCTACATTATGATCCCTTTTGGGGCTACTTTTTGAAGGCGGCCCCTGATCTTTAGGGTACCCGGTAAGGACGCTAATTTAGAGAACTGGCCATATCCAGAAACTGACAGTCAATCAAAGAACCTACCCTACACCCTAAACCCTAACCCTAAACCCTAAACCTAAACCCTATGTATAAACCCTAAACCCTAATCCCAGAACTGGCAATAAACCATCGCGGCGAGGCGCGTGAAAAATCGCCCGGACTCGCCCGCTTCGTCGGGAGCAACCTTGCCCGACTCCAGCAGGACTCTCAATGCAGAACCATCCCGGCCTTAACAATCCTCATGCATATAATATACTCAGATACATAGTATAGTATGACTATAGAATTGCACACATATGCATACACACACATATACATACACACACGTATACGTATATAGTCTAGCATCTAGGAGTTACCAGCCTTAGCACAGCGCCGCCAGTGATGCCCTCAACCCTGAGCCCGACTTGAAGGCTCATGGGTGGTTCGAAGTAGGGTTTAGGGTTTAGGGTTTAGGGTTTAGGGTTTAGGTTCTACGTACCCTGAATAAGGTTATATCCCCAGTTATAGCTATAGTTACCCTACTTATAACCCCTCACATAAAAGTACCCATGAACCTTCAAGTAGCCCTAAACCCTAAACCCTAAACCCTAAACCCTAAACCCTACACCCTAAACCCTACAGCGCCTTCTTCTGCACTTCGCGGGGCACGATGGCGGTCTTCGCCACCTCGCGAAACACGGAGAAGGCCGTGGCCTTGGGCACCAGCTCGGGCACGACCTGGCTTACTTCGGTTGGGGGTTTAGGGTTTAGGGTTTAGGGTTTAGGGTTTAGGGTTTAGGGTTTAGGGTTTACTGTTCATGATGATGACTATTCTTAGGAATCTGATTATTATTGCGATTGTTCTGCAGAGTAGCAAAAGATTAGGAGGGTGTGGAGTTTGAGGTTGAGGCTTTAGGAGTTGCAGTGGGAGGTTAGGGTTCTGGGAGCGAGAGTTACCTTTTAGAATCCCTTACAGGGGGTATTGAATAGGGATGTAAGGTACCCTATCTTCCTGATTCCTTTTCCAAAGGACTCATACCCCATGGTTCCGACCCTAAACCCTAAACCCCGCCGTGAGCACAACCCACCCACCTTGCATGAGGCTAAAAACCCTGAACCGTATAAAGCCCAAACCCCAAACCCCAAAACCCCAAAACCCCAAAACCCTAAACCCTAAACCCTAAACCCTAAACCCTAAACCCTAAACCCTAAACCTCCCCCCCGCCCCTCCCCCCCCCCCTCCCTTGATGTCACGCAAGGGCCAGGAAAGACCGCCTCGAAGTCGGCGAGGCACTGGGCCAGAGCACTCTGTGACTCGCTCTGGGCCTCAATCTAGGGTTTAGGGTTCAGGGTTTAGGGTTTAGGGTTGGGGGTTTAGGGTTTTTAGGACTTAGGATTTGGGGTTTAGGGTTTTGGGGTTTCGGGTAGGGTTTAGGACTTAGACGTTTAGGGTAGGGTTTAGGATTTGGGATTTAGGATTTAGGGTTTGGGATTTGGGGTTTAGGTGTGCGCAAAAAAGTAATAGCCGTAAGTGATCACTGTGCTCACACCAATAAATAACCATAAGAAACAATGATCATGATACTTACCCTTCAGCCCTTCATCCTTTCTCACTACTTTCCAAGAATCATCAGAAACAAAGATCGCAATGACTACCCTTCATCCCTAAATCCTAAACCCTAAATCCTAAACCCTAAATCCTAAACCCTAAATCCTAAACCCTAAACCCTAAACCCTTTCTCACTTCTTTTCCGGAAATGCGCAGAAGGCAACTCGAGGAGGATGGAGCTGTCCATGCCGCGAGGCTCTGACCACAACAACGCTCAGCAACTCTTGCTAAACCCTAAACCCTAAACCCTAAACCCTAAACCCTACACCCTAAACCCTAAACCCTGTGTGCAAAGGAACGGACTACTCGCTGTGGCGGCAAGCTCGGACAGAACGGAACAAAATGAAGCTTTCCAGAGAGGGGAGGGCGTTGCACCCACAAGCTCCGCACAGCCTAGCACATGGATCAGCACTATACTCGCAGTATAAACCCTAAACCCTAAACCTATATCCTTTGCAGTGGCATGTCATGTACAACAGTGTCCAGTGCATCGGAAGAGCGCAGCCTATGTGAAGCGGTCGCCCCGGGAGGCTATCCTGTTGCCAACACAGTTGCGTGGGCAGATCTTCAGGACCCCACAGCGACCCCCATCTCTCTCCATACTGGGTAGCTAAGAAGAAGGATCGAAATGCCGAGCAAGTCTGAGCGTCGCATTTCGCCAAACCTTCTTCAAACTTCTTCAAACCAGTCTTTCCGACTGGTTCCCAGAGCACCAAGAAGCGGCGTGGATCCGAGAGTTACGCGGTCAAGGACTACGTGGTCACGAGCCTTCGTGGCCATGCTCAGATCACCCTAAAACCCTAAACCCTAAACCCTAAACCCTAAATCCCAAACTGATCCGAGGATCATTCCCAGCGCAATGCTCTTTGAGCCGCTCCTTGGCACTGTAAACCCCAACGAGGGAACTTCAACAGCACGCAACTGCAGTTGGGTTTAGGGTTTAGGGTTTAGGGTTTCGGGTTTAGAGCGAAACAGACACACGTATGGACAAACACATAGGCGGTTTCTCCCAACTGTTGGTCCCTTGTAGGGGGGGTCCAAGTACCAAAACAGGGCTAATCATGTAGAGAGCTCTGCGGATGGGGGTTTCCCAAAGTTCTTAGAATAAGGATTGTAATACTTTTGAAGGTGTCTGAGGCTACCCCTTTGAATCAGAACTGCCAAAATCATTAAGGCACTTCAATGTCGCTCGAGAGGGGTGTGAATGCAGGCAAAGGCTGGTGTTCAAACATCATCAGCTACGGACTCAGGTTCCTGCAGCGGTGGCATCATGTCAAGTTCCTATGCAGCGCAGGAGACGCAGAGACCTTTCGTGCTTTGATCGCTACTACCCACTGAGATGGGTCGCGTTAAACAAAACCATGATCACACACACACACAAACAGACACGCCCCAGAGGGGAAGTCCCTGAAATAGCTGTCTCAGGACGCTACCAGGAACAGGCCGTCATTCATAAACTAGCATCTCCCTGCTGCATGATGACAAAAAAGTGGAAGCATCCCAAAGCAAACTGGGCGCTCATCAGGCGTTGAGCTCGCAGTATGCAGTGGGGCTCGGGAGGAGCTTAGCAGCTTGGTGACACTTTGCATTGTCTAGCATGGATGACCCTAATGACGTCTACGTGGAAAATGCCAGATAGTATCACCTTACGGCTGCCCCCTCTTTCAGGTCAACTCTCGCAGCTGGCTGTTCCGTCAATCGCGGGTTGAAAACAAACACCAAGTGTTCAGAGACCATCGTGTCAGCACCTACCGTATGGTCTCAATGTGATGCACAGCAACAGAAGACCAGGTGCGGACCTATGACGTGATTTTACCAACGTGCATTGTGCCAGGCATCTTCTGTACATTGGTGCGGCTGCACTGGAAGCACTGCAGAAACGTCATGCAACATAACACCAACAAGTAACAAGACAAATGCTTCACATCTGCTTTTCTGGCAATGGGGAGAACTGCACATGCACGCGTACAGGTGTTGCCATAGCAGGCTTTTCAAGCCTTGCACGATTCAAGCGGAACGCAGGCAGGGCCACCAACAGCCTCCGGCAGTAGCTCGCCGGAGACGTGACCAGCCAGCCGTTGCCGCATTTAAAGGGTGACATTTGGGATGTTCTCCCTTATACTAACAGTCCTTAATAGGGATCATAATAGCGGGGTACTATCATCCCTATGAAGGACTGATGGTATAAGGAGGAACATCCCAAGGCGACATGAGGTGTGAAGTTCGGTAGTGGCTTGCGGGCCGCCCCTTTCATCGAGTTGGGGAGAATATCATTCATGACAGCCTCATCCTGTGCTATATGGATACGATAAACAAGCATCAATATGTAGCCCGAAGCACATGCCACAAGCTGGAGAGAACAGTCCTAAGGCTTGGGACTAAGAGCCTACCTGCACATCGGCTGATTGGCACATGTAGCAACCTTTGATGATTCTCAACACTGAACGCTTAGACCGGAGCCCCACCCGCTCTTAGGGGGGGCTAACAGCGAGGTGGGGGGGGGGGTTTGGGGGGGAGGGAATGGAAGGAGGGCCTTCTGTTTTCTTTTTCAGTTCAGTGCAGGTACGGATGACATGGGGAGCGGAGGAGAACATTCATTCTACAAAGAGGAGGAAGGGGGCCGGTTGCAGTCTCAAGGATGCCAAACGAGCGGGAAAGTGCAGGAAGACGCAGCCAAGCCGATTCAGATTTGGTAAATTGCCGTGCTTGAAGCACCTGCGGACATGTCTGCATCATCAGCTGCTTGAGGTTCTGGGAAGCTTGGAGAAGGGTTTAGGGTTTAGGGCCATTATATTTAGAAATGCACCGAATGAGTACAGCACTGATGCGCTCATCTGAGCTGAAGTATCTTGCCCGCTGCAGCTTCTAATGAAGAAGCAAAGCGAATGCATCTTCGTGGCCCTGGTGGACCTGCCAAGCCTTCAGAGCCTTTCTTGGCAAATGTCCATGCTTTCAAGTACCAGACGTTGCTGCACCTGTCCAAAAGTTTTCGTGGCCGTGACAAGCCCATAGGCGGCAAAGATTGGAGCAGGCGGGAGACGGGAGAACAACGTGAGAACAACAGGGGCTTGCTCTTGTCAACAGGATCGATGGAATTGAGAAGCTTGGAAAATCAGATTTTCAGAAAATGTTGGACATTTTGGAGGGCACAGTACACTCCGTTCGACAAGTGCATCACAGCTCCAGGAATGTTCGGAGAAAAACAAGACAGGCCACAACCCTAGACCCTACACCCTAAACCCTCAATTCTAAACCCTAAACCCTAAACCCCAAAACCTAAACCCTAAACCGTAAACCCCACACCCCAAGAGTTTAGGGTTGGTAGAGAACTCCACATCCACGGCCTGGCTCTTGGGAGGGGGCGCACAGGTCTCGGACCAGGCCCTGCGGGCTTTCTAATCGGCGTTCGGGGTTGAGGGTTGAGGGCTTTGGGTTTCGGGTTTCGGGTTTCGGGTTTGGGGTTTGGGGTTTGGGGTCTGCAGTTCAGGGTATACGATGACAGATGAACTAATATGTAGGGCGAAGGGTCAAAGGTTCAGGCTTCAGGGTTCAGGGTGTATCTGAACAGATGAATGAAAATCTTTGCAATGGGACCCCATCCCTCCCCCAGCCAACAACCAAGAAAGATAAGAATCCTTATCAGATGAACCGTACCCCAAAATCTGATATTGCAATTGTATCATCCTTATTGCAGGACCCCCCCCCAAAAAAAAACAAAACATACACAAGATAAACAAATAAAAAAACAATAAAGCACGGCATGCCAATGGGTTTTGTGCAACTTCAGGTGCCCCCTCTGAATGATGCAAATTAGGGACCCCTAAACCCCAAACCCCAAACCCTGGCACTGAAGTCTGGCTAAGGTGCCGAAGGCAGCAGGTGATCCTCATGGGCGCCGGGGGGGGGGGGGGGGGGGGGGGGTGGCTGCGGCGATTTGCCACATGCGCAAGTCCTGAAGCGACGTACCCTACTTCCCCCTACATCTCCGCTACCAATACATAATATATATATATATATATATATATGTATATACGTATGCATGTAAAGATCAGTCACCCTTCAAGAGGGGAGTAGATAGTGTGCCTTAATTTTCCCAAATGCCAAAAGACCCCCTACTCACGAGTTCGTCCCTGCAGTCCTCGGCTAGCATGCAGGCCGTTGGCGCAGGGGTGGCGGGACTCCATAGTGCGGTGATCTTCATCAGGTCTGCATCCACATCCACCTTTCAGAAGAGATCTGAAAGTTTGCCCAAGAGAGAGTGGTGCCTGTGTTTTTGGGGGAGGCTCCTAGGATATCTGAGGGTCTGCAAAGTTCATTATACCGCGGGGAGGGGTCCCCAATTTGGTAAATGCCCCATCTCTGTGAAAGAGCAGATGATCCCTCCCTCTCAGCACAAAAAACCTAACCTAATCGTTCCCAGCCCCTGCTGCAGGACCCTTGGAGAATCTGACTGCAAGGTCTATAGATCTCGTCAGATCATTCTTGCCAAGCACGCCTTGCACATGAAGCCTTGCGTCATGTGCATGGATTGCGCCTGCCAACTGCTGGATTTTGCCGCCCAGGGATCATGATCCGAGACATGCTGGGGAGCGTAGCATGTCTGGACTTGCCGCTCTAACTCCATCCATCATCTATCTATAACGAATCGTGACAATTTTGGGGGGTTCACTAGAAGAGGGCAGGTGTGATTTTCGAGGCTGGCCGTTGACACCCTCTG